AGGCCAAGAAGTTGACCTACGAAAATGAACAAAAACAAAGTTTATAACCAATAATGCACTTTTAGCTCATTTTCATTCCAACCAAGGTAAAATCTAAGAAAACACAAAAAGGAAGTAAAAAGCTATAAAATGTCAAGAACTAACTCAAAATAGTGGGTGAATAACATGAAAAATCATGTGTAAAAATGAACCGAACAGAAACCTGAATGGTTTGGAAATTAGTATTTGGTTAATGGAATTATGAAATTGTGCTATATATCGGATTTGTTTCGGCTTTTACACTGTGACTTAAGAATTTTAGAGAATACATAGTCACTATTTTTATGATTATTATTAAATTATATGGATTGGGTGATATGAGGTTCGATTATGAAAGTATTTTGTGGGAATTGCATGTGTAAGCAAGTTTTGATTATTATTTGAATGATATTTTGGGTCTTTATGGAATTTATGCTTTTGAGAGATTATTTTATATACAATAAATATTCGGGTCTTCTGGAATACTGAGAATTTGGAAAATTTGAATTAAGGGAAGGTATATTATTTTATATTTTATATATATGGGTTTGTGAATTGCACCATCATATGTACCTTCCCTGGTTCGATATGGATGATAACTACACGTGCGTTAAGATATTTTCCGACGTGTGAGATGTTGATGACCCGGGCACCCTTGGCGGGGTGTGTCGTAGGCCTTGACTGGCATTTCACGCACGTAAGACTTGTTTCAGCCGCACGTGTATTGAGGATTCTACCGTGCATGTCTGGGGAGCAATACTCCCCCTGTTGGACTACTCATTCCCTAGCCACATGAGTATTGAGGATTCTGCCATGTGGTTTAGTAAAACGATCTTCGTGTTGGTTTGTTTTTCCCTTGTACATGATGTGCACCATGATATGTACCTCTTATGTTATTGATACTTGATATATTAGACATGTGGTAACTCTTCGGAGGTGTGTCGGGATATCGGGCACCCTTGACAGGGTGTACCGAAGGCCTTAACCAGTAGTCTGCACGCGTAGGAGGGATATTCAGCGCACATGTATTGAGGATTCTACCGTGCGTGTCTAGGGAGCAATAGTCCCCCGGTTGGACTGCTCATTCCCTAGCCATATGAGTATTGAGGATTTTGCCATGTGGTCTAGTTAAAACAATCCCCCGGTTGGATTGTTTTCCCTTGGTACATGATGATGGTCTGGGGTGTATATATATATATATACAAACACATTTATATGTGTGGGATGGATTCGTTTCCAAGTTGGGGTTTCTTAAGTATATGCATGGTGAGTGCTCTGCACAGATGTGATCATTGTTTTGATGTTTGGACAGTGTTGTTTTGCAATATACACCTTGGATAGGGTATGGTTGCGAGAAAGAAATGATTTTGGAAAAGTAATTTGAGTTCAGAGTAAACGGTTAGTTTTAAAAGAGTTATGCATAGTATATGTGAGTTTTTACAGGGAAATGGTTTTGAGTTATGAATCATGGGAAGAAATGAATTTATAACATATTTAGTTATATGCCTTGTGGAAATTGAAGTTAAGAATGAATCTAAATTTAATTGTTGGTTTTACTTGGACGATATCTGTATATTTTCCGAATTGTGATACTCCTTTGTAATTGTGGAATCTTGTATAGACATGACTTGTGTGTTTCATAAGATTAATCGGACCTTTCCATGTTTGGGTATCCAAGCGCCTCAGAAAAAGGCATGTTCGCCGGGAATGTTAGTTGTATGTGGTGTACGCTATCTTACGGTTGTTTATGTATGTGGGACTATATTGTAAAATTATACCATATTTTGAGTATATAAATTGTAGCTTAGCTTGTTTTTAGTTGGATATAGGAAAGAGGTAGCTATAATAATTTTGTTTACTGTGAATCGTGGCGGATAATTCACTTATACCGGTTGTTAGAGAATAACTACAGAAGTTCTAAATGTTCGATGTGAGTGATGTTGATTATTGATATAAGAACTGCGTGTGGCTTGATCCCTCACAAAGGGGTACGTAGGTAGCCTGGGGTTTCACCTAGGTGCAGCCGCGAACTAAATTATTATTTTTGTTGAGTTTGGTTTTGATTATGTTGGTGGGACTGAAGCCCGATTGAAACTTTGGTGAGATTAAATGCTTATTTATATTCCAGTTTTTCTGAATGGTTGTGGTTAAAATGTGTTTGTGTCTATGATGGGTCTGAAACCCGATTTGGATTGATGTATGATTTTGGCCCAAGTCTTTAGAACTACTTGCGATTGGTGCTTGGGTGGTAGACATTGCATGCTGAAAGTTGGGAAGTTATTATATTGTTTTTCTATTGGTTATAATGTGGGAATCGTTCCAGTTATAGAGGAGACTTTGCCGAATTTTCTGCAGGAGTCAAATGGTTTATCCTTTTAAATTGGGGGTTATGTGGCTTTTTAGTAAAGTAGGTCTGACGTCGGGTAGATGTCGGACGGGAAGCAGAGTTTGTCACGGATTTCGAGGGGAATCTGGGGCGGGTCTTATCAAACACACATGAAACGAACAACCGGAATCTAGAATCCAAACTGAAGTAGAACCCTTACTCGAAGAATTTGCTACGACTTCCCCATTACGCTTCTCAACCGTAACCGTCAAAAGTTTGTCATCTGTGTCACAACCAGTTGACACGTTTGCTGCGCCTGAACTTTCGATATCCTTAATCTTGTTACGCTTCTCTTGAAGCGTTTCTGGACTCGTCTCATCTTTTACCCGTGGAGAGCGAGAAAGTATAGAATTAACTGCAGCAAAGACTAGAACTGAAGAGCAGCATTTGTAGGTTGCAGTCTACAGTTGAAGATGTTAAGGGCAAACCTTCAAAAGTGTCAATGGCTTGTTTTGATATCACCTTGTCGCCCACTCCTTGGTAAGATCCCTGTTTTTACCTTTAACCCTGCCACTTGAGAGTTTGTTGACTCTTCATGGTAGTTGCTTCATTTGTCCTTAAATAACCAATGTTCATTATACTTGAACGCCAAGCAAGAAACCCTATTGGATGATACTCATCACCATGTTCATCAGTAGGACACGTAGTTGCGCCATCACGAAACCCTATTAGATGATAACCTTTTAACAATTTATGAATCTTAGTACTCCAAGACACATAATTGGTGTCATCCAACTAAGAGACATAAAGTCACCAAATTTCCCAGGTGTTCCAAATTAGGGCACCAAAATTCCCAAATTAGATCACACAAGAGCAACTTACAAGTCAGAGCCTCAAATTCACCAATTGACAACCTTCTTAACACAGAACAAGGATCTCACACCGATCAAAAGACCAGAAATGGAATCAATTTAAGATATGAAAACATATGATGCTGTAAATGTAACATGTACATGTGAAGAACACATTATAGAGGAGAGAAAACCATGATGAACTCGAAGAACCAAAAAGTAAACAAAAAGGTGAAAAACTTAGCTCAGAGTTGTTGAAGAAGAGGAGGAGGAGAATGAGAACGGGAACCAAAAGCAAAGAGAACGGCGGCAGCGGCAGCACCAGAAGGGTCACTGCGAACACCACTGAAAGTTGAGAAACCTAGCAAGGGCTTATAAGGAGTTGGGTTACTCCTCCCATTGCCAATTGGTTTTGGGGTGGAACCTCAACTTCCTTTATGGTATCAGAGCAAGTTGATTAACTGGGCTTGAATTGGGCCTTTACCCTTACCCAATATGTGGTGTTCATATATTGGGCTTGAATGTTTACTCCTACCCTTTACCCAATACGTGGTGCTCACATGTTGGGCTTGAATGATTGACTCCGATGTGGACTTGGCTCCACGTGTGACTCACTATGTGGTGGTCCCACGTGAGGGGGCATGTTGAAGAATATAAGTCTCACATTGGAAACTTGACTAAATAAAATACAAGATATAATGAATGGTTCCACTACTAATATCACCGAGGCCTTTTGTAATAAAACCCCACACCTATTGAGCTTTGTAGGTGGTTAAGTTGGGGACAATATCGGTGTTGTTAGTAGTAGGCCGGCCGCAGGCCCGTCTTTTTGAAATTTAACATGGTATCAGAGCAAGGCTTCACGTGTTGGGCCCAACGGCCTCCCACGTCACCCAATATGTGTTGTCCACGTGTTAGGCTTGAAAGTTTGCCACACGTGCGGGGGCGTGTTGAGAGTATTTATCCCACATTGAAAAGTTAAGGGACTGACCCTGGGTTTATAAGGAGTTGGGCTACTCCTCCCATTGCCAATTAGTTTTACGGTGGAACCTCAACTTCCTTCAAGAGTCACACGCGAAACAGGATCTCAGACGCTGTGTTACAGCTCTAATACTAATACCATGGTAGAAACCATTGTGCCACATCAAATCACTGTAATTCACAAACAATCAATTACAGATAGAGAACAAATATCAAGACTAGTAAAGAAGAAAAGCAGGAGAGAGCAGAAGGGTTAGAATGGGTAGGGAAAAACCTTATTTATAAATTTATTATTAATAAAATTTATTATCAACTCTGACAAAGTATTTAAAATACATGCTTAAAAGTAAAGCTGATATCCAAAACCAAATATAAAGAGAATATTCACCCCCTTGTACTTTAATAGGCTGCATAAATAACTCATTAACTTTTAAACTGTTTTCTTCCTTTACTTAATGGCGTTAAGCAGACAACACTCTTTGTATATACGTACATACACGTAGATTAATCTACACGACTACACGAACCATATTGCTGTATTCTGCAAGAGCCCAAATTGGGATAGTATTCCTGTATGCTGCGTAGTGTAACATGACATTCCTCATGAAAACTCCCATCACTTCCTGTCATGAGAAAACGAAAATAAACAAAAGATGAGCAACCTGTAGCTAGTAGTAATTAAACAATATCCTTTTTTACTTTTAACTTGGTGCAGGAGAAAATACTTCATCATCACCGGATGTATATGATAAGAGAAATAGACGCATGGTTGTATACAACCCGGTAAGACTTAAGATTTTCTCATGCTGCAGAATAAATGGTGTTTAAGAATGGTACCTGCTGGGGGAAATCGCCATTTTCCAATTGAGAATTGATCAACATCTTTGCAGCTTGGTGAATAGGAGTAGGGTCTCTCTCCGCCTATTGCATAAATAAAAAATATAAACATGAAAATTTAGAAATTGGGAGAGAAATATGCAAAAGTAAAAGAACTGAGGAAGTGGCTGGCACATAGCTAGGTGTAAATATTCATGTACTAACCTGTCCACCATGAATTAAACCCATTAATCCCATTGCAGTCTGCACCACATTGGATCGGTCTCCTTCAAGAGGTGTATAGATCTGTGTAACCAATTCAAGAGATTAATTTTAGTTTACTCTGAAGAGAGAATATATTTACTAATGAATCTCAGAACAACTAGGCGCACGGTATAAATTGAGCTGCATGCGCTAGTGTGCTATGAGTATTTTGGGAATAGACCAACAAAGCCTCAACATATTTCATGTAAAGGGAGAAAGAAAAGAAAAAGAAAGAGAAAGTAAACCTTGTTTGTACAAGAAATGTAGCTCTCTCCCCATCCACCATCATCTCTCTGTGTTTTGAGTAAAAATTCAACACCTCGGCGTATAGCCTCACAATTATTGTAAGTCTTGCCAGCAGCCTCTAACCCTCTGATTGCAAACCATGTTCCATACATGAAGCAGATTCCCCAGTTTCCATACCTGTGATAATTATTGCCTCTTTAGTTTATTTCTCTAACACAAGTAAGAACATAAGTATGCTTAACATAATCTGATCTAAGGCAAGCATACCATGACCCATCAGGACTTTGTATGTCTTCAATGAACCCTGCAGCAGTTGTGATGAAATTATCTATCTGTTTCCTTCTGTGGGTGGGGTATAACTTCCTAAACAAAGCTAATGCCTGGATTGAAGATGAGGTGCACTCGACGTGCCTGCATGACTCTTATGTTAGTCTTCACGGAATGTAGTCTAGAACTTAAGGAATTACAGAATGGAAAATGTTGGATCAAAAGTGTTACTCATATTCGATGACGAGATCCCCCATAAATTCTATAGGGTTGAGCCACTGAAGGAGAAAATGAATATATGCATGTCATGATACACATTGAAACAATGGAGATAATAAAATTCTTTGATCAGTTAAAGGGATTTTTCTTACTTACCTCCAACCATTTTGGAGCTCCTGCCGGTTCCCAGGCTGATACACCACCATTTGGACCCTGGTTCAAATCATAGAATGGAGCTCATTAATATCATTATGACAAAATAAAGGGACAGTAAAGAGAAAATAAAAATAACTATCTTCAGTAGTTATAAATTTCCCCATTTAGAGATATACTACTTTTTATTCAATCTAATCCTCACCTGCAGAGAAAGTACGACATTGACAGCATCATATAAACGCTCAGGTTCTAGTTGTTCACCGACGAGTTGTGGCGGCAGCATCGATAACAACAAGCAATTCTGTGCGACATAACATGTGCTTGAGAAACATATACAATTGTAATGGCTCTAGCTCAACCCTCAGCTTGACAAAAATAATCACCTTCAAAGCTTCTGCAGTACAATCAGAAACTTGCCATCCATGGTCTTGATCAGAGAAAGTCCATCCTCCTTTAGAAATGTGGCGAAAATGGGCTACAAAGTCTCCAGAAGGATTATCCCTAACCTAGAATATTACAATCCGATGCATATTTTAGCCAACTTAAAATGCAATGGGAGAAAGAAAAATGCTTGATGGTCAAAGTGAAAGGAAGAAGGAAAAGGGCTTTTATAGAACTTGTAAGTACAGAAACCTGAGATTTCTTAAGGAAGTCATGTCCTTTCTTAAGTACAGATCCAAGTTCATCATTCAGATTTGCAGCAAGCAAAGCTTGCATGGCGAAACTAGCATCCCACATCTGGCTCCCAAATTCATCTCATTCTCGTGGATGTACTTGTGATCTTCTCAAATTTTCCACTATATTTAGCATATCAAATTATATGTCCCATCTTGTTTTGTTGTTCTTTGGGGGTTTCAATAATTTTTTTTTTATGTCGCATCATAATAAGATCTCAAGTCAAAAGACTTATATGATTTGATGAGAATAAAAAAAAGTAAGCACAAAAATACACGCGTGAATAGTTAGATTCATTAAAAATTTAGGATGTGATTTTTTCCTTTTGGTAGCACATCATGTGTATATCTACTGTTGTTTTATTCCTATTTTTAATATTATAATACATTTAGAAGTTGTGTATTTATCTGCATTTCGCAATATCTAAACAATTCTATTAATCTATCTGTTTAAAACATGACACATCAACAACTTAAGTATTAATTATTATTATTTTCATAATTTGAAGTGTTTAAAATTAACAAGTCTGTTATTGTTTAAATAAAAAATAAAGTAAAAATCCACGAAAGTTACCCATAACCTTCAAAGTTCATGAAAAAGTGTTATATGGAAGATTACAATGGAATATCCTTTGAATAAACCTTTCCACTCATCGCCCCTTCTCAATATAATCAATTTACCAAAAAAATATATCCCTACATTCAACAATTTGGAGAACCAGTTTGATTTGTATTTTGCATTTATATTGACACCTGCTTATTTCATGGTTGTAGGGGTAGATCTGTGGTAGAGACAAGACAAAGAGAAATGGTGGCCTGGGTGGCAGGGATAAGGGTGGGAATGGTGGCTTATGCACTCCCGTGATATAATCCACATTGAAGATGATAGACCAAGTTCCAAGGAAATTTTTAGTTATTTATTTATATTTATCGGAATCCTCTCTCAAATCTGAAATCTCTAGGAAACTCATACAGATATCCGAACCAGGATATATGAGATATTATTGAATATAACATGTAATTGAATGTATCTTAAGCCAAAGAATATAACATGTAATTGTATGCTTATATATACATAAGCATACAAAGACTGATCATAGCAGCAGCAAACACACTTTTTAGATCAGAATGGGAAAGAAGGTAGCCATTATAGGAGCTGGAGCTAGTGGCCTTCTTGCCTGCAAGTACACACTTTCAAAGGGCTTTCAGCCCATTGTGTTTGAATCTGCAAGCACCATTGGAGGAGTTTGGACCAAAACTATTGAGACCACCAAGCTCCAAACTCCTAGAGAAGTTTACCAATTCTCAGATTTCCCATGGCCATCTTCTGTGACAGAGGACTTTCCTAACCAACATCAGGTTTTGGATTACATCAAATCATATGCTCACCATTTTGACTTGCTCAAGCATATCAAATTCAACACCGAAGTTTGTGGGATTGAGTATGAAGGCTCCTCTGAGGATGAGATGCAAGCTCGGAGCTTGTGGGGTGGCTCTGGAGAGCCTTTCAGCTCCAAAGGGAAATGGAAATTTGTAGTAGAAGACAAACAAAGCCTTTCAACCGAGGTACAAGTATAATATGTACAATCGAGTTTATATTTTATTATGTTAAGTTGTTAAACTATCAATATTTAAGTCATCGAGGATGGATAAGCAGATCTACGTGGTGGACTTTGTGATCCTCTGCATCGGACGATTCAGTGATGTCCCAAACATTCCTGAATTCCCTTCCAACAAAGGACCAGAAGTATTTGATGGAGAGGTTATACACTCTATGGATTATGCTGCCATGGATTACGATAGCGCTCGCAGATTCGTGAGAGGAAAGCAAGTAACAGTTGTTGGGTTTCAGAAATCTGCCTTGGACATTGCAATGGAGTGTTCAAACACAAATGGTAAATTGAGTCGTTAGTCTGCTATAGATAATTTGAACAACATGGCATCTGCACAAAAATACTTTGATCATTTTTATTCTTAGTAGTTTGTATTACCTTTCATCTTTTTCTTCTCTTGATTGATTAGTTGGTTTGCAGGGCTTGAACATCCATGCAGAGTCTTATACAAGACAGAACATTGGAATGTCCCTGATTATCTCCCATGGGGTGTGCCCCTGGCATGCCTATACCTTAATCGATTCTCGGAGCTTTTGGTTCATAAGCCTGGAGAAGGCATCCTACTCAGTCTCCTGGCAACAATTCTTTCACCTCTGGTAAACTTCTTTTTTTCTTTTTAATTATCTATGAACTTGATCATAATCAATTCCTAAAAGCTGATGTTTATTAGTAATTTTTTTTTAATCATTGAACAGAGATGGGCATTTTCAAAATTTGTGGAAAGTTATATAACTAAGAAGCTTGGTTTAGCCAAGTATGGAATGGTACCTAAGCATAGTTTTCTCCAAGAAATCAGTTCTTGTCTGATCTCAACAGTGCCTGAGAAGTTCTATGACCGAGTCCAAGAAGGAAGCATCATACTGAAAAAGTCTCCCAGCAGCTTCAGCTTTTGCCAAGAAGGCATTTTGGTTGAAGGAGAAAGCTCCCCTGTGAAGACAGATTTGGTCATATTGGCTACGGGTTATAGGGGTGATAAAAAGCTCAAAGACATCTTTGTGTCTCCCACCTTTCAGGACTACATAGCCGGATCACCTAATGCAACTTTACCCCTCTACAGGTAAGCTCTGGTCTATGTACCACATTTGCGCGCTAGTAACGCTATCACAAACACTGATCTGTGTGGCCTACCGGAAAGCCTTCAATCATGAACAATTTGACTCGCGTAGGCCACTTCAGGGAATGAACAATCCGTGTAGAAGAGTTGATGGTGCGTAGTCAAAGTTTGAGCTTCAATTTCATTTTCTTAACTCCTCTGTTTGAGACCCTAATGATCAATTATCTTTTATGGTCAGGTTGAGCATGAGGCAATTCTCAAAAACAGTGAAAATCCAAATTCCTCACTCACATGGGACGAATATAAATCGATGACTTTTACTCTTCAGGTTAGTTCCCGAATCTCAACAAACATTTCCTTCTTCCTTGCACAACTGCTTAGAAAAAGACTTATAATTTGCTGGTCTTTGGAAAACATATAGGTTATCAATGAAATTCTTAGGCTGGGAAATGTTGCCCCTGGCTTATTACGTAGAGCTTTGAAAGATATCCCAGTAAAGGGTAAGTCCTCAATTACAAATAGCTTAGGCCTTTTGTTTCTAACAGCAAATGGATTTTTACTAAAATGTTTCCAGTAAATGCTTTGCAGGATTTACAATTCCAGAAGGCTGGACCATTATGGTTGTCACCTCTGCACTTCAGTTAAGTCCCAACACATTCGAGGATCCCCTCGAGTTCAATCCATGGCGTTGGAGGGTTCGTGTCTTGGGGACGGGCTGAGTGTCATTGTCGTTTGTTCAAATGACTTCAATTTTTAGCAGCTAATTTTACTTTATATATTATATGATGAAATTTAGGACCTTGACTCATATGCTGTGTCCAAGAACTTCATGCCTTTTGGTGGAGGAATGAGGCAATGTGCAGGGGCACAGAGTATAGTAGGGTTTTCTTAGCCACCTTTCTCCATGTCTTGGTCACCAAATATAGGTACATTTCTTTTCTCTCACCAAAAGTTACAAATCTACTGTGTGTTTTACAAGGTTTTTATCAGAGCTAAGTCATCTTTGTCCAAAAAAAACAAGCTAAGTCATCTATAGAATCTCTGTTCATAGGTGGACAACAATCAAAGCAGCACGCATTGCTCGAAACCCTATTTTAGGATTTGGGGATGGAATTCACATAAAGTTCGAGGAGAAGAAAACCTGAGATGAATTTTTTTTTTATCCTAAATTGATCGAACTTAGATGCTACCCATATATATAATCAAATTGAGTGTGTCATGTTATTAACAACAAAAACATACACATGCAAGGAGCGTGTAGCTAAAGTAATGAAGAACATTTACTCCTACATTCGAGATTTTAGGTTTCAAATTGTCCTACCTTCTATCGGTTATATGAAAAATAAAAAACATACACATTACTCTTTGTATTATCTATTGGCATCTGAGGGTTTTATTTATTTATTATTATTTTTTGAAGAGGTTGGCTTCTTAAGTTTTTTTTTAAAAAAAAAAGTGTAAATAAAAGAAAAAGTTTTCGAAAAATTGAAGAACCCCAATCTTAAAAGTTTGAAACGAACTAAATCAGAATTTCATTTTAATAAGCAGCGTTGGGAACATGCGGCATTAATGTAATTTTTATGATCCCTAAGAGCTATTCCACCGCAAGGGTTTAGCCCAGGCAGGAGGGGGCCCTAGGCCCGGAAGGAAGCTCCAGCGTGGAAGACCCAGCTCGGGCAAGGTGTAGGACCCACGAGCCCGGGCAAGCCCACAAGGAGATCTAGCCTGTCCTATTGCCTTCGGGCAAATGACGTCAACTCTTCAAATACCCTCAAGCTGCACTGAGCTCGAGTTTTTGGATTTGAGAGGGTGTTGAGATGTTCAACTTGAGGACAAGTTTCTCAACAAAAAGTACCCAAAATTGAAGGTTTTAGGGCCTCTTATTCTGGACTACTATGAGAGGAATGAGCGGGAAGATTGCTCCGATTTCTAGAATGCTTCTGAGTATTTGGCCTGGGAATTTATGGCTGGTGAATTGGAGGATTACTATGTTGATGATGATGATGTGAGTTATGATGGGATGTGGGATGATGAGGGAAGGCTAGAGGAGCTAGAGTTGAGGTTCTATGAAGGAATTGATCAGAATGGGGATGCAATGTATGGAGGGTATGGTTGGCCTCCATCTCCTTAATAAAGTTGTGTTTTTTCTAATTTTTCAAAATGTTTGCTTTCTTAGGGATTTCTTCTCCTTTATTTTTCTGGGTTTTGGGTTTAGAAATTTATAAACCATGTCTTGAAGGTCTGCGACAACACCAGCTGGGTTGGGGGAGAAGGGGGGTGGTGTTGGTGATATGCTAGTTTACTTTTCTTCTTCTTTTTTCTATTTTGAATTTTGTTTGTTTTTGTTTTTACATTTGTTTTAAATTTTTATTAATATTGTACTTTGTAAAATGACAAAATTACCCTTATAATTGACGGAAAATTGGATAGAAGTGTAGAAACTTGACGGTAGGTGTTAAATTTGCGATAAAATTTAGGGCTTGTCTGATATAGGTCCCTACAATTTCTATTTCCTAGACATATACCCATCATTCTATAAATCTATGTGTAAAACCCAATTTCAAACTTAAGATATAATAGGTCATAGTATTCCTATGTTTTTACATCCTTGCCATCAGACTTCATATTTTATTTATAATTTATTCCAAGCATTTTATTAACTGCCATAATTGTAATTAAAACTCCCTATTAATAGCATAGCAATCACCCCATTTCTTTTGGTTGCCATTCCCCTAAAATTGCAACAACAAAAAAAAAATTGTAAATTACATATCCAATAATGTACATATGAAAAATATAAATATAAATATATATGTGTAAAAATATAGGTATATTATTTACCAAAAAAATTAACAAAAATAGGTCAGTTACTTTGTAATTGAAATTTCCGTACATTTTTCAAGCATTAAAAATAGGTACACAATAATTTATAGAAAATAGGTATGTCGTATAATTGAAATTTATGCACATTTTTTTATAAATTAAAAATAGGTACATTATTTAGAAGAAAAAAATAAGT